TCATATTCTTTTGATCAATTTCGTGGTGTGTAAATTTGTTCCATTGAGTACAGTTTTTTTCTGAATTATTTTGTCTCGTTCTGTCATGCTTTTCTTGAATTGCCGTCTTGCCTCGACATGACTTCCATGCTAGCTTGCCTTAGGAGACCATGGTTCAACTTTTCTTGATTCTAGTCTTTATCTATCTCTCTTACTTAATTTTTGGTTCTGCCTTCCCTCTTTGTCCGCCGTATTTTTTTTTTCTCTCTCTCTATTTTTTTTATTGTCTTGCCTAGCCAATAATTTGGTCTCGCTTCGTCTTGCTCTATCTTGGTCCGTCTTGTTTCGACTTGCCAAAACTACCAGTCTTTAGAGCCCATTAAATCCACGACCTTGTAACGTGCCCATTTGGCTGGAGGGAGGGCGGGGTGGGGGTGGGGGGGGGTGGGGAAGGAGGGAGGGGGGGAGAGCGGGATGGGGGGGGGGAGAAGGCCAATGGGAGTCAGTGGAAGAGGAGAGAGTAGGAGAAAAGGAAGAGGGAGAGAATTGGAAAGGCACAGGGGAAGAAGGTAAGAGGGAGAAAGGAAGGAGGAAGAGAGAGGAGAAAGAGGTAGAGGAAAGAGAAGAAAGCGGGAAGGAATAAGAGAACGGGAAGAAAATAAAATGGGAAGAGGGGGAGGGGGAGAAGGCGAAGGGATAGAAAGGAGAGAGAAGGCGGGACAGAAATGGTCGAGGAGAGGGAAAAGATTAAAGAGATTTGGGTGCGAAGGGACGAGAGCGATAGGGGCAAGGGGAGGGAGAGGAAAGGGGGAGGGAGAGGAAGGGGGGAGGGAGAGGAAAGGGGAAGAGAGAGAAAAGGGGGAGAGGGGGGCAAGGAGAGGGCAGGAAAGGGGGGAGGGAGAGGGAGCGAGTGAGGGAGAGAAAAGGGGGGAGGGAGAGGGAGCGAGTGAGGGAGAGAAAAGGGGGGAGGGAGAGGACGGGAAAGGATGGAGGGAGAGGGAGCGAGTGAAAGAGAGGAAAGGGGGAAGGGAGAGGAGGGGGGGTAGGGTACGGCGGCCTCGGTCATTACCCGGGGAAGGTATGGCTGTCTACATCACCCGATGGTTTAGCTGATATCCGGGTATCGCGTTGCTTATTGAGCTACTCCTGGGAATTTATCACTCGGGTTAATATAGGAGCCTGTGGGAGAGTCGGGGAGAGTTGAGGGGGGGGGGGGGGGAGGTCAGGGGGGGCTGAAGGGGAGAGGGGGAAGGGGAGGGCTGAGGGGGGGGCGGGGTCAGGGAAGGGTGAGGGGGGGAAGAGGAGCGGGGAGGGAGGCGAGGAGGAGGAGGGGGAAGGGGGGGCGGGGGCGGTGGCAGGGAAAGCGCAAGAAATTAAGGCTTCTTTATGCTTCTTGATGCTGGGTCTTGAGGAGCCACCGATCACGCACACGAAGGTCGTGGACAGCCGCTTCCACCTTCCCCCCACACCCCCCACCCCCTCATGGACTCTTCCCGCACAACCCTTTTCTCCTCCTCATTCTTCTCCTTCTCCTTCTTCTTCTATTTTCTCTTCTATTTATTTTTTCTTCCTCTTCCTCTCCCTTTTCTTCTTCTTCTTCTTCTTCATCTTCTTCTTCTTCTTCTTCTTCTTCTTCTTCTTCTGCTTCTTCTTCGTCGTCGTCATTGTCATCGTCGTCTTCTTCTTCTTGTTCCTCCTCCTCCTCCTCCTCTTCCTCCTCCTCCTCCTCCCCCTCCTCCTCCTCCCCCTCCTCCTCCTCCCCCTCCTCCTTCTCCCCCTCCTCCTCCTCCCCCTCCTCCTCCTCCCCCTCCTCCTCCTCTCCCTCCCCCTCCCCCCTCCTCCTCCTCCCCCTCCTCCTCCTCCACTTCCTTCACCTCCTCCTCCACTTTCACTTCCAGATCCACTACCTCCGCCTTCTCCACCACCCCCTCCTCCACTCCTACCTCCACCACCACCCCTTCCACTCCTCCTCCTCCTCTTCCTCCTTCACCTACTCCTCCCTCTTCCCCATCATCTCAATCGCCTCTTTCTCCTGCCTTCTCCGTGGCTAAAGGAGAGAGGAGGAGCTCAAGGTCCTTCCCTCCATCCCTCGACCAGGGACAATGGGGAGGGAGGGAGGGAGGGAAGGAAGGAGGGAGGAAGGAGGGAAGGAGGGAGGGAGGGAGAGGGAGAAGGAGGGAGAGGGAGGGAGAAGGAGGGAAGGAGGAGAGGGAGGGAGAGGGAGAGAGGAGAGAGGAGAGAGAGAGAGAGAGAGAGAGAGAGAGAGAGAGAGAGAGAGAGAAGAGAGAAGAGAAGAGAGAGAGAGTGAGAGAGTGAGAGAGAGAGAGAGAGAAGAGAAAGAGAAGAGAAAGAGAGAGAGAGAGAGAGAGAGAAAGAGAAAGAGAGAGAAAATAAATAAAAACATTCCGCTATCCCGAAGGACGAGATTACGACACCTCCTTTCATTACCACACGCTGCGAGAGTAATAAATTAAACGAGAGAAAAAAAAGGCGCTATGATCATCGGCGTGGACATAGTGACAATAACCCTGGCAGGAAACATGCTGTTATCCCTGCACGCCCCCCCATCCCTCCCTCCCCCTCCCCCTCTCTTCCTCTTACCCTTCATCCCTCTCTCTCTCTCTCTCTCTCTCTCTTCTTCACCCTTCCCCACTCCACCTCCCTTCCTTATCCATCCTCTCCTCACTTTGTCTCTCTCTCTCCCTCCTCCTCCCCTTCCCCTCCTTCAATCCCTCTTAACCTCCTTCCCTCTTCCTCGCCCATCTTTCTCTTCCCTTCTCTGTGCCTCTGTCCTTCTCCCCTTTCTCCTCCCTCTTCCTCACCCTTTCATTCACTCATTGTCCCTCTCAATCTCTCTTTCTTCCTCTCTTCTTCAACCCTTTCCTCTTCCTCTCCCTCTCCTCCCTTTCCCTCTCCCTTTAGCTCAACACTCTCCCCCCCTCAATCACCCTCCCATCCCCTCCCCCCCTCAATCACACTCCCCTCCCCTTCCTCCTCCTCTATCTCCTTCCCCCCCTTTCCTCTCTAACTTCTATTCCCCCCTCTATCACCCTCTCCTCCCTTTCCTCTCCCCCCTCAATCTCCCTTCCCCCCCTTCCTCTCCCCCTTCAATCTCCCTCCCTTCTCCTCCCCCCTTCCTCTCCCCCTCAATCTCCCCCTTCCCTCCCCCTTCCTCTCCCCCTCAATCTCCCTCCCTTCCCTCTCCCCCCCTTCCTCTCCCCCCTCAATCTCCCTCCCTTCCTCCCCCCCTCATCTCCTCCTTCCCCCCCATCCTCCCCCCCCCCCCCGCCCTGCATGCAACCCCACTCTGGGAGCGAGGAAGCAACAATCCGGCCTAACAGTCCTATAATGGCTTGTTCCTGCAGCACATTCCCTGTCTCTTCCTTCCTCTCTCTTAATTACTATTTACTCTACATCCTTTCGTTCCTCCAGTTGCAGTTCGTTCGTTTGGTTTGTTTGTTGGGTTGGTTTATCGTTCTTAAATGGTTCTTTTTGTTTCATTTATCTCTTTATCTATGTGTGAATATCCGATTGTGTGTGTTTTTTTTTTTATTTAAGTTTCTTGTTCGTTTCGTGTCAAAAAAGTCGACAGCCCGCGTCCTCATTAGCATATATTTTTTACCTTTCCTACATTTTCAATTACCTCTAAAAAAAATAATAAATAAATAAATAATACGGAAACAAGCACAAGAACGAAGAAGTATATAAGAAAAAAATATATATATTAGTTCTCTACCTCGAGTCTCCAGAACTCCGGCAAACACCACACTACAAACACTCCCAAGTTTAGGCTTACACACACGAGAGGGTAGGGGGGGGGCGTGGGGAGAGGGGATAACTTCAGGGGTACGGAACACCCCTCCCCCTGCCCCCCTTCCCCTCCCTTCTCCCCTCTTACTCCCCTCAGAGCGTTCAACGAGGGGAGAAGAGGGCGGGGGGAACGTTCTCCTGGGTAAGGAAGGGAGGGGGGTGGATAGGAGCACCCCTTCCCCTCCCCTCCCTGTCCCTCCCTCCCTCCCTCCCCCCCTTCAGAGCGCTCCCTCCATTCCTCCCCGACACACACATCACAGCTGACTCGTTGGTCGGTCGGTAGGTCGGGTCCCGGGCGTCTATGGGTTTCTCTTCTCGGCCGAGGAAGATGGGCGGCTCGTCCCTCTGTCAGCCCGGGGGGGGGGGGGGTGCACCTCCCTGTCGATTGGCTGTTTGCTTGGCTGTCTGTTTGAAGGGTGGGCCTTCTCTCTCTATGTTTCGCTCTCTCTCTCTCTCTCTCTCTCTCTCTCTCTCTCTCTCTCTCTCTCTCTCTCTCTCACTTTCTCTCTCTCTCAGTCACACACACACTCACACACTTACATACACACACACACACACACACACACACACACACACATATATATATATATACCCTCTCTCTCTCTCTCTCTCTCTCTCTCTCTCTCTCTCTCTCTCTCTCTCTCTCTCTCTCTCTCTCTCTCTCTCTCCTCTCTCTCTCTCTCTCTCTCTCTCTCTCTCTCCTCTCTCTCTCTCTCTCTCTCTCTCTCTCTCTCTCTCTCTCTCTCTCTCTCTCTCTCTCCCTCTCTCCCTCTCTCCCTCTCTCCCTCTCTCCCTCTCTCCCTCTCTCCCTCTCTCCCTCTCTCCCTCTCTCTCTCTTCCTTTCGATCCCACCCCTCTCCCTCTCTCTCTCTTCCTTTCGATCCCACCCCTCTCACTCTCTCCCACGCCCTCTCCATCTCCCTCCCAAAAGCGACGCCCTCCGAGTCATGGGCGACATGATTTCTTGCGCCTTTGTCCACGCCCTCCCTCTCCCCCCCTCCGCTTCTTCACCCACGCCCATTCCCTTTCCCCCCCTCCCCTTCTGCACCCACGCCCATAACCCGATCCACTTCGCCTGCCTTCCCCGCAGAACGAAAATTGGAGAAGGACATTGCAGAAGATCCAAGAACAGTGCTAAGAACAGTAGAACAAGAACATTAATCTCGACTCAATCTTTTGAAAATACATCCATCCACCTATTAAAAACTACG